CTGGACGCAGGGTAGAACTATTGACCACGTGCATCAAATAGAGTCTAACAATGAACAGGACGAATTTATCTGGTGCAAGGAAAGAAATTATAAATACGTCGTTTTCTTTTTCAGAAATCGCGAGGTTGTTATAGACCATATATTTACATCCGTACAGAAACACACAGAATAGAATATAAGCAGATGTTTCAGCAGCATCGCCTTCTTCAGAGCCTGAAAGAACACATTGATATAAAAATTACTACGTCAAACGCTTCAGTAACACATGTAGGAAGGCGATAATCTATATAGGAATCACACAACCAGCAGCTTCTCGAGAGATCCGCTAATTTTTTTACGTGTTGTCCACTAACGGAATTATTATACAAATGCGGAAGAGCCGGAAATTTTAGCGGAAGACCTACAAAATCGTCTATATAACTGAGCCAGACAGAAGAGGATCACGTGAGAACTGTAGGAGGAGAATTGGTGAAGAAATGCTACGGAAAACTGAGTCACGCCAAATTTCCAAGGGAGAGATGATCGGTATAACTATGATTGATGTGAAGCAAATGCAAGAAGTGCTGGGATCCGCACAGTAGATGTGTTGACGAATCACGTAAAATAATTTTCTGCAGAAAAAATATTTGTAAGGCGTTGACCAATTCCTTAGAGGTGCGCCATGCATTCGACTTCACCGAACATCGTTGGAGGGGCTGAGCCGTACTTGTGATATACTTGCAGTGTATCTGCTGATGTTTCAAGTTAGCGCTGCCATCTTCGCAGGCAATTCCGATACCATTTTGCCAATTCATGGGTGATGGAAGGTCTGGTAAGGTTGCCTAGGCGTAGGGTCAAACCAACCACCCCGATTATGTTGCAGAACGTTGCTAACCAATGCGCCACACAATTGTTGCGTTTCGCTTTCAGGGCAGTGTGTCAAATCATCGGCGTCATTTGTTTGCATACGATGAAGTACGTCGAGCAACCAGTGTGCGAAGGTAGTTTTAACTGGACTTCGAGCCTTATGGATTGGAATGTAGTTTGCTGCCATTTTACAAAGATTCTTCGAGAACGACAGTAGCTCCTAAAAAAGCGGTGATATTTGTCAGCCTACCGAACGAGAACGACGTAAAGCACTGATGCTTCTAACGTGAATACAAGATAAGGAGTTTTGAAGCCTAATAAGAATAGGGATTAGCCCTGTTACTTTATTGTCCGTGACGTGTTTCTCCCACCGGTTTTTTGTGTTGGCAAGGAACAAACTGGGCATTGAAAGGCCTGATTGAGCGACTCACTCAGGAATCACTCATATCCTCATAAGCAGAAGATCGCGCAATATTTTTATATCAGATCCGATTTCTGTTTTCTTTGTTTTGTAATTTTGTTCATATCATCGTTGAAGAAGGAAATAGGTTATGTGTAAGGAGGACATTATGCATAAAATCCTTCTCCGTGAATATTAAGTTCAAGAGCAGTTGAAAACTAATTTCCGGCCAGAGGCCCACAACTGAGCAGAATCCGTATGTCCTTAAAAAGTAAAATCCAGCAAGGGACCTAATATCGCACTTACCTTTTTAACTCAACGATCTTTCTTGACGGTTTATTATTTAAATGGCATAACGGCTGCCACCAGGATAAGCGGACGCGTTTACAACTCTAGCAGGCAGTTAGCTGTATCCACATGTAGAGAAGACAGAACCGAACCTGTCCGAGGGAATGTCAGCAGTGACTTAATAGAACAGTAAGCAATTTCGCATCACTGTATAGGGCGCACATACATCTAATCAGCTCTAGCGATACTTGGTGAAGTGGAATGCATGGCGCCATATCCGTCAATGTCTTTCTAGAAATCAGAAGAAAACAGATTTTGAAATGAAATCTGCTTTCTCAGTTGCGATACATCCTCGGATCAATGATCCTAAAAAAATGAGCGAAGGTTACCATAAACTAGCAGGCAACACATGAAGAGAAAAGACGAACCGCATGCATCATGTTGAACAAAGTTGAAAAAATAAACAATTCAAGAAGTAGGAGAAGAGAAGGGGCCAAGAAGACTGTATAGAAGAGAAGGCGATCAAAGAGTTTGCGCTATCGATTACGACAGTCAGAAATCGAATGCGAAAAGGCGTGGGATACTAAGGAGATGTTATCAGTATCACGTTTAGAGGTCGATGACAATGAGTACAACGTCACTCCCCGAACGAAAAACAAAACCACATGATAGTTTGGAAGAGAAACTTCCTATTAAGCCCAGATTTTCTCGATAAGTTTAAACGTTCCCGATAAACAGACGTCAGCACTAATGCCTCTTCCTACCCAATCAAATACTCGTATGACGCTGACGAAGAGAAGAATCGAAACCCAGATTTCAACCCCATGACAAACAATTTCTTCAGAACACTCGGCATTTTTTGTTTGTTTTCTACTTGGCGAACAAGGCCAATTCCAAATTGTTCACAGAGGAAAAGGAATATATCTACGTCTGTGTACTACTACTAATAGAGACTATGTACAAGAAACATAGAGAAAGAACACAGACTTGCCTTAAAGGATAGAGAATATTATCTGCGGGGTAAAGAGTAGTCTCTATAGGAATTTGATAGTACAGTGGCGATTTATCACCATAATTTTATCACAAAATGCAGAATATCAGTAGATTGTGAAAATTCCCTGTGCATATCACTGGCCTTTTATCATTACGAGCGATCTGTGCTGACGTAACGCCTAGAAAATTTTTCGGCTTCCTATGAACTGGCAACAATAATTCGAAGTATTTCTCCCGTTCTATCGCATAGACGCTCAAAATGCTGAGTTACTCCAGCATGTCCATGTGCCCCAAGTCATTAGAATGCGACTCGATTCCTCTCAGTGATTTCTACGGATTAAGGGACAGCTTCATCACTGGTGTGCTAAACTCTGCGGAATTGATCTACTACGAATGCGACATTTCATAATATGAAAGGAAGTCTAGTCGTCAACCTGGCAGCGGATATCGTATGGAATGGGTATGAACAGAAATATCGACATAGAGTTGCTCGACAAGTTCGAGCAATCACTGTGCTATAGGGGTGAGTTATTAACTGATCCATAGTGAGCTTCATAGCAAATATGCCGAAGAAAAAGACCGTATTTCTTTCCTCGATATACACAAAGATGTCCTTCGTCAGGAAGCCTACCGAATGTTCTACTATGTTGGTTTGGAGAATGGTCGATGAGGATGAGGTGGCATAAATGTACAAATTTTCACAAACTCTATTCTTGTCGCATAAAATTCTACATTATCCATTCACACTCCAAATCACCGACGCACATGTCAAGTAGACTGAGATAGAATGAAGTATGCGATTAGTCGCCTTCTCTCTCAGCAACCGCGAGGTTAGTAAACAGCGTACGCTTACTTCCATACAATAACCACATACAACACACCGTACCTGACGTTTCGGCAGAATCGCCTTTTTAGAGCCGCTTTTTTCACCTGTTTTCCACAGAGGAAGAACCGGTCGTCAACCATATGCGACTCTGAGCGGCAAAACGTCAAAGAAATGTCTATTGTTTTTGCACCACTATTTAGGACTTTTCACCTAGTTGTTTTCGTTACTTTTTGAGCAGAAATATGCGTCATTATCCACTAGGTGGTCGGCATATTGCACAATCCCAGTTATTTGGTCTTCATCAATTCGAACGATTCTTTGCAAATCTAATGCCATAAATTTCCGCCGTTCTAAGGAACAGCGCCAATGGGACAAACCTTGAATCAACAAGGGCTGAAATCTGCCTTAGTGATGAGATTGGCTCCAAACATGCTTGATAAGCACTTGCCAAGTAGAAGATGTTCTAGCGCTTTCTTTCATAATTTCTGTCCAAAAATAGATATCCAAACAACAATACAAAAAAAGTGCGCAGATATATTCAAATATAATAGTGTACTCTACTTGTTAGTAGGAATAGAGACCGAGTTCCCAGATCCAGACGTTTCAGACTCTGAAATCCATTATTTTATTTACCTCAGAAGTCTGCCGAAAGTCGGATGAGGTAAGCGTTAAATGAGAAACGGTCGCAGGATAAAAGACATGCTCATGCAGTTGTAGAGATAAATATGTATGTCTCGTTATCTTTCCTTTAAAATGGGAGATATCTAGAGAATTAGCGCAATGGTTAGAGGCGCCCTGCAACACACATGGGATCGATTCCGCTCACCATGCCCTTGAAACCTTCCATCCTTCCGGGAGCGACAAACTGTTATCGGGCTTTTTGGCTCGGTGAGGTACTTACTACGTGAGAGACTTGAAGCGGCTTGTCGATGAATAGAGTTGTACTTGTGGTCAAAAGTGAAAATCTGTCAAGTGGTTTCTGCTCGATAACGTAAGGCTGTCACCGAAATAGAGAACTAATGAAAATGATATGATTATACTGAATCCACCCTGAACTCGCTTATACGAATGTATTGAGCGTGGTTAGCGATGCTCAGCAGTACGCACGCGGTCTGTGTCACGACGAGTTTTACACTTCGACTTTTTAACACGCAATCATTTCTATCTCTTTGTTAGCATTACAACATAAGAAACTTCTTTTATACCTGTAAAAACTCAAATTTCTGCAGTCACTTTTTAAATAAGATCGTCTCCATCTCGAAGAACTTTGCAGAGACAAAGCGCGAACGATTTCAGCCGCCAACACATCGCTGTTCACCGACCGACGAAAGCATGTCGTGGGATGGGGGGGAGGAAGGAATGTAAGCCAAAAGTGGGTTACCGTTGTTGAATTCTACTCACGAAATAGTAATATTAATGTTGATCACATTATTGGCAATGATGCGACATGAAACAAGTCCGAAGAGGGAGAAGACTGTTCAGAGCATTGTAAAATTTCATAGCAAGAAAATTTGCATTCTACTCATAGGACGCTATTTGGTGAGAGGAGAGTATTCACCTGTATCACCTGTAGTCCTGTTGATCGTCGAGTGACTCGAGCGGGCGCCAGCAAATCTTTCATTTTTCCCTGTCGTGTACAAGTGTAGCTCAAACGGCTCTTGCCCATCGGTTGTTATTCATACACATTACATGGTCGGCACACCTTATCTTCAGCTGTTTGGCGTACAAAACGGTATCTTTGATTCTTGATAGTTGACGCAGTTCGTAGCTTCGTATCCCATCACTTACTAGCTTGGAATGGGATACTCCTGGCATCGCCCTTTTGACTGTGCGTTCGTTAACGTCGAGTGACCTTTCATCCTGCTTACTCAGCGACCAGGTTTCTGAAGCATACGTTAGGGCAGGAAGCACCGTTGAGTCGTAAACGCGGGCATGGAGTTGGGTGTTCCTTGTTCTCTTCACTACATCCTCGATGCTCTTGAAAGCTTTCCAAGCCGATTGTTTAATTCTGCTCAGCTCTGGAGTTAGGTCGTTCAACACATTGATTTCCCGACCTAGATAGATATCAATGGAGCATTCGGAGAAATTCGTTCCGTTGAGCGTGAATGGAGCATGCGAAACCAATTCGTTCTTCATGAACACCGTTTTTGTGAGATTTAGTCGAAGACCAATCTTTCCACAGGCTTTATCAAAGTCGTCAAGCATATGTTTCGCTTGGCTGATTTTTGGTGCTATAAAGGCGTTGTCATCAGCAAAGCGAATATGGTGTAACTGCCGGCCATCGACTTTCACTCTCATATTATCCCATTCCAATGTTCGCATGACGTTCTGGGGAGCCGCGGTAAATAATTTTGGCGAGATAGTATTGCTTTGCCAGCTCCTCTTTTGACGTCGATGTTAACATCGCTCTTGAATGATGATATCTTGGTTGTGAAAATTTTTTGTAACTCACGAAGATTCTTTATGTACTGACTAGCGAATCCTTGACTATCAAGGACTTCCATGACTGCTTGGTGGACCTGGCTATCGAAGAGAGCCGAGTACTCGTGAATGATTTTCTTCGTTGCCTTTCTGGACGCCGTAACTGTTCCGTCTCGGCACTGGAGTGTAATCATTTTGGTCTTGTAACTGGCGAATCTTCTGTGGGCTTTGCCAGTGCTTTTCCCAGCCTCTGCATCTTCGACCATCACTGCTGCTCTTCTCTTTTTAAGTTCTTCTTTTATCATCTATCGGCATTGTTTTCCAATTTCAGACGTTAGTTCGCGATTTCCTGCAGCTCGTGCGATTCCACGATGGCATATCAGCTCGAGTGTTTCTGGAGACAAACGTCTCTTGGTGCTTGTCGAACTCTCAGCTTTCACAGCGCTAACGTGAAGATGTTGAATGAGCCGATCGTATTCCTCGTCGATATTATCGACAACGGCACCTTCCCAATAGCCGACTAATAAATTAAAGAATTCCCAGTTTGCTGTGGTTCTAGGACTTCGGTTTTGGAATTTAGCGGCTTTTTCACCTTTCCGCGAGAAATAGAATCTTGCACGAAGAAGACGATGGTCTAATCTCATCTAGAATTTTGAGACAACAACGGCATCGGTTAGACAAAACCTTCCATTTTCAGTGATGTGGTCTATTTCGTTATGGTAGTCTCCATTAGGAGACTCCTACGCCCAGCGATGAGGGTGGGGCTTCTGGAATTGCGAGTTACCATGGGTTGTCTTGGTCGCCATGATATACTCAAACAGCCGCTCATCTTGTTCGTTCCGTTCTAATCCGTGGGTCCCAATGTGGCGTTCTTCAGACGTTCTTCTTGGTCCAGTCTTGGCGTTGAATTCTCCAATGATCACCTTGAAGAATGTGTGGCCTTCCCTGTATAACTTCTCCAAGTCCATATAGAACGCTTCAACTTCTTCTTTGTCATAGTTTGATGTCGGCACGTAAACGACGAGAATTGTCACTGTGTCTCTGTCAGGTCATTGGATTAGCCTGAAGTATGGCGCCAGATCACGCGTGATGACGAGGCACTCCTCCTTGCTGCTTATTTTTGAATTTTTGGAATTGATCCAAAACGCTTCAAGAGTTTTATGCGCTCATGTTTTCGATTCGTGCATGGGGATAGTGACTCCTACTTTAAAATCTTCTCCGTAGTGTTCCTGCATCTTGTGCGCGCCAAGTGGAGTGTTTGGTTTGGAGAATAGATAAATATTACGCAGAAATTAGAGGGTTGGCAATGGGACAGCGACTGGCACCAACCCTTGCCGTTGCCTTTATGTCTAAGGTGGAAGCACCAGTAATCGATCTCAGGCCGTCACTCTACTGTAGGTATATAGATGACTGTTTCGTCATCTGCTGGAGCAGGAGGAGACACAGGAGGAGATGGACAAATGCTTTGAGTTATTGAACAAACAATCAGAGTACATAAAATTCACCCGCGAGAAACCGAAAGAAAACTGGCTTGCATTTCTAAACGTTTAAATCAACCTATGCAAAAACGGCTACATCACAAAATGGTATCGAAAGCTAAGCAGTAAGAATACTTTGGTTTACTACCTCTCCTCTCATCCCTCACACACTGAAAGAGCGCTTATAAGAAATATGTTTCGAACAACCGCCAGAGTGTGCACAGGTAGAGAGCAGAAGGAAGAATCCTCGAAACTGGCGCACCAAATAGCCATTTCAAATGGTTACGAAACTGTAGCTTCTCGGTATAGGCATAGGGGAAAAACCATGCCCCAGAGCGATAATCCTAGCGGAAACAAGGCTCCGTTCCTCTTGGTCTTTATGTCAAGCGAAAAAAGTGCAGCCATAGAACAGTGTTTAGTAGCGGGTGGTCTATCGAATTCCATAAGAGTGATAGAAATACCATCGGACACTCTAAGAAGCCAGTTAGTTCGGCCTATATGAGCGTCTATGTGCAACGGAAAATTGCGTAGTTTGCCTTACCGGTAGATACGACGACTGCATGAGTTCGGGTGCAGCCTATCTGATCTCTTGAAAAACGTGCGGGGACAAATACGTTGGCGAAACGGGTAGAGCGCTCTGCGCCCGCATAAAAGAGCACCTAGTCGGTAAATCTAAATTAAAACCAAACACTCCACTAGGCGCGCATTGGATGCAGGAACACAACGGAGAGGATTTTGAAGTAGAAGTCACTATCGTCACGCACGAATCGAAAACAACAGCGCGTAAAATCCTTGAAGCGTTTTGGATCAATTCCAAAAATCCAAAAATTAACCGCAAGAAGGAGAGTATCACCGCCTCTATCCTTAGGGCATGTAAACAATTTTACGTCGCAAATAGGCGGTCGCACAAGCGGCTACGAACTAGCCGATAACGAGGAGTGTTTAGTGAGTTGCAGTTCATTCTTCATTAGGGACAACAGTAGCAGTGATTGAAATACCACCACACTGTAAGATAGCAGCTAGCTTGGAAGTGTTTGCATGAATATATGTGTGCAACCCGAAACTGTATACTATTGTAGATCGACTTCCATTTAACCTCGGCATTAGCAATCAATGTACCTTCGTTCATTGGTAAGCCAACACGTGGTCATTACCGGCCATTTATTCAGGTAAAGTCTCCCTTTTTTCGTCTTGCTTAGAGCCGTTGATCCGATATGGTGGCTCACAGCAGTTCGCTTTCGCGATGTAGTGTCTTCGTCTTCGTATCGAGTTGAATTTTCTTCGAAAAAGAATCGTTTGAATTAAGTAATCTGATGATTTCCTGTTGACAATAATTTGTTTTTCAACGGTCAATTCATTCTGCAGCAGTCAGTATTAGGTAAGCTTGCTCACTGTTATAAGCCACTCTAATTTTACGTCGTCGCAAAACAATCAATTTGCTTTCTTCTACCATAACGGCAATCAACATCACCAACAACCGCGTTGTAAAGAGGGGCATCGCGATATGTGGTTATTCTACCGAGCTGTCCTCCACTAAATATTCGACTCTGAACGACGGCGAAAACCCCAAATCGCGAAGAGGAACAACGGTGGGCCGTCTATTCGGATCATTAGTGGCTTTGAAAAACATCTTTTTCAAAGCTGGTCTTGGTATTTTCGTGGTGCACTTTTATAAGGAGCGGAAGATGGTGTATCCTCGCCATCCGTTATGGTCTGCTTTTTGGAATGCATTGCGTCCTGCAGCAATAAGTGATATGCTGCTAACTGGCAGATAGCGTAATAATACATCTCTAAGAACTGACCTATCTACACGCTCAAAATGAATACTCCATACTTTTTTGGATTATTGAAGTAAAACGACATTGGTATAAAAAACTACGAAGGCGACCATATGTGGACTACTGACTCGGACCAACCAGGCTTTGAAAAAGACGAAGACGTTGAAAAGTTATCTCAATAAATACAAGTTTTATGACAGCCTTGGAAAAAACGCTTAAAACCCAGCAAAGTAATCCTACAGGCATAACTAGAGCACAGAAAACAGCAGTGAAAACTTTGAAGTGGCAATTGCAATCCTTGCGCAGGAATCAAAAACACAAGCGTTTCTGAACTCTTGAGGCATTACGGGTTAACTGCAAAAATCGAAAATGTGTAGAAAGGAGGAATGTTACTACCACGAATGTCACTTAGTTTCACGAGTGACCTAGCGTCTTATCTCAAATTTACGGAAGCACTCTGATATGGTGGCTACATATCTCGCATGGCCAAAATCACTCTTATCTGAGTGAAGTTCATTTTCTTTCGTGTTTCACAACAAGCAGGTGAGCTCCAAAAAAGCGAAAGTATTAGGTTGTTTAGAAATAAATCAGCATTCTTAACTATGTTATTCAAAATATAATAACTCGCTTGAAGCCAAACCTTGTTAGTCAGAATAAAAACCACTTAAATCTACACATTTTTTCGGCGAAAAACAAATCCATTGGCTCTAGTTGCATAAAATTCTACAGTTCTGGAAGCGATGAATTCGTTGAAGGCATTTTTTGTGTAATCGTGGTTGGTGAAGCATTTCTCGAGCAGGAATTTGTCAAGAAGAAGCTTGAAAAAGTGTAGTCGGTAGGCAAGCGGTCAGATGAATACAGCGGATGAGGCAAAATTCCATAGCCCAACTCGTGCAGCTTCTGCAGCGCTTGTTCTGCAACCTGAAGCCGGACGTTGTCGCGGAGATGGATTGGATCTTTTCAGTTGACTAATGACATCCGTTCTTGTTGGAGTTTACGGCGCATTTCGTCGATTTTTTGGCAATACTTCTCTACCGTAAGCGTTCCATTCGGATTCAAAAACCTTTGATGAATCAGCTCAGCTGTAGAGTACTAAACAGTCTCCATATCCTTTGNCGTAAGCGTTCCATTCGGATTCAAAAACCTTTGATGAATCAGCTCAGCTGTAGAGTACTAAACAGTCTCCATATCCTTTGCTCGGTCCAATTTCAGCTTTGGGAAGTGTTCTGGAGCCTGGTCGCAGTCTAACCCTTCAGCTGAATGTCACCGGTTGCCGCACGGAATCCATTTCTCGTCGCACGTCACAATGCCATCAAGAGAAGGGTCGCTTTTGTTAAGCAGAATACGACATTTCAAAACGGCGATTTTTCTTTGATTATCGTCTACTGGCTCCGTTTTTTTTGTCTTTTCTATGCAATTCAAGTGAGTGAAAATTGTTCCCGAGCTTACTCAAAGCTCTTCTACAAGCTCTGGAACAGTTGTTCGCGTGTTTGCTGTTTGCTTCCACTAGTACCTTCAAATCGTCGTCATCGAATTCACTGCGACGTCTGCGGCCTTCCTTATCTTTGAGATCGAAATCAGCAGATCGAAATTGCTGGAACCATGTTTGCCATGCTGAATGACCAACACTACCTTCACCTCAAACCTCGTTATTGTTTCGAACTGTCTCTGCTGCACTACGATCGAGTTTGAAAAAAAAAAGTTTCTCATAAAAGAAAGTCTGGCGAAGATTTGTCTTCGACATCTGAAAGTGCACAGCTCAAAATTGGTAGAAAAAAATTCAACTTTTAAAAAATATAAAAACATGTTGAGAAAGACGTAACATTATATGATATATAATATTGCAAGGTCCGGAAATATCTTGAATGCAGAAATTACACCAGAGCAAGAAAAATTTAGAACGCTCATTTATTCCTGAACTACGAAATAATAAGTGCTTGCTTCTTAAAATGCAGACGCTTGATTTACTTTATAAATTGGACATTTGTTAAGACTGTACAACATAATAAGTGTAGGGCAGCGTGCAACAATAAGTTCTGAAGTAGGCAACGTCGTCTTTCTGGAAGGTTAACCACCAAACATCAAAACACACGCTAACAACCCCATTTCGCTCGAAAAGTGGCAGCCTGATAGAACTACTTCAGAAGCTATCAAGCCTCAAATTCTGCCATTGAAATCGCAGGTCGACCTCGAAAAAAGAAAACTTTTTTCTGTAAAACCTCTCCAAATGTAGGTGGAACGGCGCCGTTTCTATTATGGTTTAGGGTGCGCCGTAGGTGATGAAGGTTTTCAAACCCAGTGAACTTGTGTTGACGAACTCGCGTTGGCCTAGCGAGAGGATTTCTCGAGACATAAATTAGGTATTCGTGCATAAGCTTATTGGTAGTC